GTGAGCCGATATTGAGAGGTGACAATGTGCTAACAGCCCTCACTCTCAGCGCCTCCTCGGCCTCAGCGTCCACTCTGGTGGCGCTTGAGGAGCCCTTTAGCCTGCCACGGAACCGTGGGAGCCCCTCTCTGGGCTGGCTGAGGCAGGGGCCGCCTCCCTCTGCTTGCCGGGAGGTGTGGAGGGAGAGGCGCCAAACCGGGGCTGCGCTGGCGGGCCACTGTGAGTTCCAGCGGGCTCAGGCTCAGCAGACCCCCCACACGGAGCCGCCAGCTGGTGCCACGGGCCCAGGGCAGTGAGGGGCTTAGCACCTGGGCCAGCAGCTGCGGAGGTTGCGCCCGGTCCCTCAGCAGTGCCTGCTGGCCAGTGCTGCACTCAAATTCTCGTAGGGCCCTAGCTGCCTCCCCGCGGGGCAGGGCTCAGGACCTACAGCCGGCCATGTCTGAGCTCCCCGACTGCGGTGGGCTCCAGCGCGGCCTGAGCCTCCCCAGTGGGCACCGCCCCCTGCTCCCTGGCGCCCGGTCCCATCCACAGCCCAAGGGCTGAGGAGTGCAGGCGTGGCTCGGGGCTGGCGGGCAGCTCGGCCTGCAGCCCTGGTGTAGGATCCACTGGGTGAAGCCAGCCGGTCTCCTGAACTGGATGGGGACTTGGAGAACTTTTATATCTAGCAGGAGGATTGTATATGTACCAATCAGCACTCTGTGTCTAACTCAGGGTTTGTAAATATACCAATCAGCACTCTGTGTCTAGCTCAGGGTTTGTGAATACATCAATTTGTACTCTGTATCTAGCTAACCTAGTGGAGACTTGGAGGACTAGCACTCTGTGACTGTGTCTAGCTCAAGGATTGTAAATGCACCAATCAGGACTCTGTGTCTAGCTCAAAGTTTGTGAATACACCAGTTGGTACTCTGTATCTAGCTAACCTAGTGGAGAACTGGAGGACTAGCACTCTGTGACTCTGTGTTTAGCTCAAGGATTGTAAATGCACCAATCAGCACTCTGTGTCTAGCTCAGGGTTTGTAAATACACCAATCAGCACTCTGTATCTAGCTCAAGGTTTGTAAATACATCAATTGGTACTCTGTAGCTAGCTAACTCTGCATCTAGCTAACTAGCACTCTGTGACTCTGTGTTTAGCCCAAGGATTGTAAACGCACCAATCAGCACTCTGCCAAAATGGACCAATCAGCTCTCTGTAAAATGGACCAATCAGCAGGATGTGGGTGGGGCCAGATAAGGAAATAAAAGCAGGCTGCCAGAGCCAGCCAGCAGCAACCCCCTTGGGTGCCCTTCCACAGTGTGGAAGCTTTATATTTTTGCTCTTTGAAATAAAGCTTGCTGCTGCTCACTCTTTGGGTCCACGCTGCCTTTATGAGCTGTTAACACTCACTGTGAAGGTCTGCAGCCTCATTCCTGAAGCCGGTGAGACCACGAACCCATCGGGAAGAACGAACAACTCCAGACATGCTACCTTTAAGAGCTGTAACACTCACCACAGAGGTCTGCAGCTTCACTCCTGACAGCAAGACCATGAACCCACCAGAAGGAAGAAGCTCCAGACACATCTGAACATCTGAAGGAACAAACTCTGGACACACCATCTTTAAGAACTGTAACACTCACCATGAGGGTCCGTGGCTTCATTCTTTAAATCAGTGAGAGCAAGAACCCACCAATTTCGGACACAATATTGTGCCACTGCACTCCTGCCTGGCGACCGAGCAAGACTCCATTTCAGAAAAAAGAAAAAAATCTTTTAAAATCTCTTATTACCAGACTGTAGCCAGGACAGCCAATATTTCTGGCTTTTGAATTCTACCACAGGTAACTTTCCACATGAAATTTGTAAGTTTTAACTAAGGTTATAATTTAACCATGGATGCATAAGGTGCTTCAAAGAGATGGCGAGCAGTGTTTTGTTTTACAAGATTTAGAATTTCTCTAAGGGTAGTTCAGAGAAAGGAAAATTCAAGACAGTCAAGACAGGAAATCAGAAACCAGCCATGGCGGGTAAAATCTCAATAACTGGCAAAGTTACACAAGTAACAAATCAGAAAGGCATCATTCCCGAAGCCAAGAATTGAACACAGGTCAATAATGTCAAAAGATAAAGCCTTAGTTAACTGAGCTACACAGCACTGAGCAGTTTCTACTGCTTTTACCAGGAGCAGTCTACAGCAGCCAATTTCAAACTTGCAAAGGCTTTTAACTGCTCAAGTTAATTTTTTTTTTTTTTTTTGAGACGGAGTCTCGCTCTGTCACCCAGGCTGGAGTGCAGTGGCAGGATCTCGGCTCACTGCAAGCTCCGCCTCCCGGGTTCACGCCATTCTCCTGCCTCAGCCTCCCGAGTAGCTGGGACTACAGGCGCCCGCCACCTCGCCCGGCTAGTTTTTTTGTATTTTTTTAGTAGAGACGGGGTTTCACCATGTTAGCCAGGAAGGTCTCGATCTTCTGATCTCGTGATCCGCCCGTCTCGGCCTCCCAAAGTGCTGGGATTACAGGCTTGAGCCACCGCACCCGGCTGCTCAAGTTAATTTTTAAGGCTATGACATGAACCCTAAATTTCCTGTTCTCTGAATGGTGGAGACCAAGAGAATGTATCCCCACATGGACACGAGGTTAAGCTCTTAAGGACACAAAACAAGACAGAGAAATTTCATCTGGTATTGGTTTCAGGGACCTGCAGCGAAGTTTGGAACTGACCAGCCTGCAGGGCTGGCTTGAAAAGTGGGCTTATGGAAGTCCTAAACCCACATTCTATCCTGTGGTACCCTTCTCTCCATTGCAGAAAGATAAATTCCTAGCACAAAGTGCACCAAATGTGCTACAGCCTAAAAACAGTCTCACAAATACCTTTTTTCTATTAAACCCTAGCAGAGAAGACAAACAGTGATATTTACCATTTATACACACACACACACAGCAGAAACTTGGGTGGTAAGAATTTCTTACTCTTTCTGTCAGCATACTAGGTTTCCAGGTTCCCTTTCTCTGCAGCTTCCAGAACAGATGATCCTGCTCACTGTGCCACAGTTGTGGGGGTCAAGCCACTTTATAAAAGAAGATCACCCTTTTCTGTTTTATGGAACCATACACTAAAGATTCTCAATTTTGCAAGATGCTGCCCAATAGGCTGCATGGGGAGCCAAATTCACATTTTCCATCCCAATAGAAGCAAAATACACATAACAAAACAAACACGAGTCACCTCGTTCAGCACCCAACATTGACTTGGCAAGGCTCAAATTTTTCCTGTTGGTCCCTGCCATCTTTGATCTACTCAGAGTGCGGAGGGGTGACCTCGGATCATGAATTCAATGGGTGGTCTCTGAGCAGTCACCTTGAATCAGGCCTGTTAAACTTCTTTCAGGTCTCACTGAATGTGACCAGATAAATAAGGTGTGTTCTCCAAGTTAGGCCTGCTGGATTTCCATCAGCAATTCCTTCAGAGATCCCCTCCATATGTACACACACACAGAGAAAGATGAGTCATACAAGGCCTTCCAAATTAAGATCCCTAACCAAGAACTCCAAGAGTATCCCTTCCAAATTATCCTCCTATTCTCCATCTGATAAATCTCCCTGAAATCTTCCTGATTGAGAAGTCTCCTGAACCAAGACTCTTCCTACTTAGTTAGGGAGAGCCAACTGAGATGCCCCAGGAGCCAAACTGAGACAGACACCCCATGGTGGAGCTACAGACACCCCACCATGCGGCTACAGAATCAGTCTGGAAAAGGAAGGAGGCATTGGCGGCATCTAGGATACTCACCAACCTGAGACCCCATGATGGGGCTATAACTACAGACACTCCATGACCTGGCTACATAGCCCACCATGGAGCTACAGACATCCTGTGATAGGGCTACAGTTATGGGATGTCTCCCCAAGACTATTTCTCCATTGCAATTAAGTTCATGCACATTGGGCTAGCAGCGCCCCACTGGCAGAGACAGTGCCAGAGTCAGCCCCTAGTCCAAGAGAACTATGGGGCCGCTTAGGCTGGCCTCTGGATCTGTCACCAGAGGGGGAGCTATCGAATCATGGACAGGTAGCCACAAGGGCTATCCCAGATGAACCCCCAACTTTGTAACCATACAATGGGTTCATTTTGCCCACTGCCTAGACAGAGCCGATTTATCAAGACAGGGGAACTGCAATAAAGAGTAATTCACGCAAAGCCCGCTATGAGACTGGAGTTTCAACATTACTCAAATCAGTCTCCCTGAGCATTCGGGGATCAGAGTTTTTAAGGATAATTTGGTGGGTGGGGGAAGGCCAGTAAGTCCAGAGTGTTGACTGGTTGGGTCGGAGATGAAATCATAGGGAATTGAAGCTGTTCTCTTGCACTGAGTTGGTCCCTGGGTGGGGGCCACAAGGTCAGATAAGTCAGTTTATCCACCTGGGTGGTGCCAGGATCCATCAAGTGCGGGTTCAGCAAAATACCTCAAGCACTGATGTTAAGAGCAGTTTAAGGAGGATCATAATCTTGTGGCCTCCAGCTGCATGTCTCCTAAACCGAAATTTCTAGTCTTATGGCTAATTTACTAGTCCTACAACGGCAGTCCAGTTTCCAGACAAGAAGGAGATTTGTTTTGGGAAAGGACTGTTATCCTCTTTGTTTTTATTTTAAACTATAAACTAAGTTCCTCCCAAAATTAGTTCACAGAAGCTCAGGAATGAACAAGGAGAGAAGCAAAACGGAGTTGGTTAGGTCAGACCTCCTTCACCGTCTGAGCTGTAATTCTGAAATGGCGGTAACCACCGGGAGCCCCCAGCCCCTGCAGAGACACGCGGAGCCCCGCCCCACCCCGCACTCTACTAAGAGAATGGGGCGGGCGCCCCCGCCTCTTAACACAAGTGAACACCTGACAGGATTCTAACAGGGACCCGGCCGGGTTTTTCTGCGGGGCGGGACTGGGACGACCGGAAGATGGCGGCGGGGTCCGAGGGTCACTCTCCAAGGCGCCCTTGACGGCTCTGGCTGCCGGGCCACCTACCTTGCTAGCAGGCGGACTCCGCGCGTTGCATGCAAGGGCGGGAGAGGGCAGTGACGAGCACTTGGCGACGCCAATAAGCACCCGAGAGTCCAGGTCGCGCCCAATCAGGGCCCAGGCGGCGGAGACAGGGTAGGGTGCGCGCGGGCGGCGCGTGTGGCAGTCGCGGAACGCGCGGGAGTCTGCTTGCTGCCCGGCCTGAGCTGTCCGTCTCCTCTCTGCCGCGCGCCCCGCATCCCGGTCTCCGGCGCCCGCCGGAGGTCGCCGAGGAGCCAGAGGGCCGACTGGTCTGCGGCCCGAGCCCAGGAGGGCCTGGCGTAGCGGTCGCGGAGCCATCCCGGCGTCTGCTGCCATGACCGACTCTCCCCTCAGAGGGGACGCTTCCTCAGCGGTGGCTGCAGAGAGAGATGAGCGGCGGCTCCTGGCCGCTGGACCGTGAGACGGGTTCGTGGCCGGCCAGTTAGGGGGACGCTGCGGACCACCGTCTGCGCCCGCCCGGGCTGGTTCCTCGGGCCCCGGGACTCGTGGCGGGCCCCGCGGGAGGCGGCATGTTCCCGCGGAGGCTGCTGGCCGCCTGGCTGGCGGGGGCGCGGGGCGGGGGCCTGCTGGCGCTTCTGGCCAATCAGTGCCGCTTCGTCACGGGCCTGCGCGTGCGGCGCGCGCAGCAGATCGCGCAGCTCTACGGCCGCCTCTACTCCGAGCGCTCACGCCGCGTCCTTCTCGGCCGCCTCTGGCGCCGGCTGCACGGCCGTCCTGGCCATGCCTCTGCCTTGATGGCGGCGTTCGCCGGCGTGTTCGTGTGGGACGAGGAGAGGATCCAGGAGGAGGAGCTGCAGAGGTGGGCGCTGCGGCGAGCTGGTTCTGGGCCGCGGGATGGGGGGACTTGTGAACCCCGGGGCCTGCCCTGTGGTCGGGGGCCCCTGTTTACCCCGTGATGTTTTAATTGGCGGTGCAGTCGGTGGAACCTGCTTGAGCGAACCGCGTCGTTGTTTGCCTCTATGTGTCAATTTGATTTGTCGGGTTATAAAATAGAACTGAAAGTGGGGGCTGGTGTGTAGGAGGGAGACCGAGTGGGGCGAGCAAGGCAGTAAAGAAACAACGTTGTAGAAATAAATTAGATACCGAAGGCATGGAGGCCCTTGTTCACGTAATCTTTAACACACGCAAAAAGGTGCAAATTCAAAACATTTTAAATTTGGCCAGAGGGTGGTGGGCTGCTGTTTGCAAAATGACTTCGATCCAGATGGGACTCAGGCCTGTGAGAAATGCCAGGAGAGCCCTCTGTCATTCGTGACTCGTGGCAGAATGAGAGCCTGGAAGGGATTTTGTCCAGGTTACACAAACCAGCAGCCCAGACATTTGAACCTGTAAGAATTAGGTCAGAGTTTTTGCGACGTTAACCAGAACTTTGGGAATAGTGTCCCATTAGACTCTGAAGTCACGCTGTCGTCATCAGAACTGAAAAGCCCAGTGCCATTGATTACATTTGTTAATCTGTAGTTCTGAGACTTTCCAGGTAATGTCATGGGGAAACTTTGCTTTGGCTCTTGGTTTACCTTGTGTCTGTATTTTCTTTGCAACCGATATTCTTAAACTGTGCCCTCCCTGCACAGAAAGCACTTTGCCTCTAAACTCAAGCTGTGATTTCGGGAACCAGAGACAATCCCCTCCCTCTGCAGATTCCACACCCGCCTGTTTATTCTTGATATTTCCTCCACAGGGAAACAACCTGTTATTCCACATTTTTTGTTAGGTTAAAAATGGAAATAACCGCAATAAAGTTTATACCATGGCCTGTGTGGGAGGTGTAACACCCAGATGCCAGGCAGCTATTTGTGCCACACTATGAATTGTGGGTAAATGGAAGTCTATCTTAAGAACTGGGAATACTTTTCCTACCAGGAAAGATAACTTTTATAAATGCAACTGAAAATCATAACCGTAAACAACCTTATTCGCAAAAACAGTTAAGCTATCAAAGCGTGATATGTATTTTGCCTAGTTTCTATTAGTATTCTTTTGCTACTTGGCTTTTGGTTATAATCAAAGTCTCTTGGGTGTGAGAAATAAAAGAATGGGAATAAAAATTTTAAGGTGAAAAATTATCATTAACTTGGAATTTTCATTTTTGATGATGAAATATCTGTGTTCCACAGTTAAGCTTGAGAGGAAAATCTCCAATTGGAATTGCTGGAGTAAGAGAGGAGAAAGACCAGAAAAAGGCTACTGGGTATGAAAGAGAGGAAAGGAGAGTCTGGGGGTGGGATTGAATAGTGTTGGGGCTTACATAGTAGATGACACTGTTTGGCTTATTTTATGCATTTTTATGGATGGTGTTAATAGATCCTGGAGCCTCTGTTTAGCAGTGCTGAACAGAGTTAGTGGGGAAAAAAGATAGGAAATGAACATAGTAAGCATTTGAGTTAGTCGCTACTTACCATGGCAGAGAGATCAGACCAGTTCATGACTGAGCCAGAAGTATTCATTCTATTTTCCTCTGGTCAGACTGTCCCTGAAACCTGGAGGCAATTGAAATACTCTTGGTTCTAATCCAGCTGCTAAAGAGGGACTGCTCTGAGTTAACCAGCTTTGGAATTTCAGGAGTTCAGATGAACTCCAGAACACTTTCAAGCTGCACTTTGACCCTCCTTAGGGTCATTGTAGTAAAGGCCCTCATTTAACATTTCATTGTTCAGTTCATGCTTGAATTTGGTTTTTCATATAATTAAAATTTGATCATATTGTTCATCTTGAGGATTTTTTTCTTTTTAAAATATTTGTTAATGTGATAGGAAGGCAAATATGCTATTCAACAACTACATCTTGATTGCACAGTGGTTCCTTAGGTCTTTGTTTTGGTAGCTTGTCATGTTTATATTTTGTTAAAATATTCTGGGTACAGGTTAATTTATTTGCTTTGTGTTTAAGTATTCTATTTGCTTTAAAGTAAGCACTGCTGCGGTTGTCATAGCTAGCTTAGAACATCTTGGATTTCGTTTGTTCTAGTGAGATGATTTTTGGGTAGCTTCCATGATGGAGCACAGTTGGAGTGTGTCTCAAGTGCATTTCTTCATTGTTAATGGAAGAAGAGCATGATTGTCACGTGGCCCCTAAATCACAGCCTTTGGCTTATCTGTGCTGATTCTGTACCAACTTGTCCTGGCACAAACTAATTCTGACATTGCTGTTTTGGTTAAGCGGGTGGAATGTGCAGGGTGTCTTTTTGAACGTGTGCCTTAAAGTGGCATGTGTTTTCCTTATGTTATTTGAGTCCTATTCAGAATGACAAAGCATAACTTTGCCTTCTCGTCTTTTGTGCTTAAGAACATCTTACCAAATAGCGTCTTATTAATCAAGCAACAGCTAGAAAATTTGAGAAGTGATTTTGACTGACTGCTATGGTCGGATGTAGGAATCAGATCTTTTAATACTTGCTCTAGTACCCAGTTGTTTTAAATTAAACAATCAACAAAAAAATCTTGGGATTGCTGTTTTTGGTGCTAGCTGGCATTCTGTGATTCCAGGGCAAATCTAATGGAAAAATACAGTAGTCATATTTTTGATTGCTTTGGAACAGTTAAAAAAAAAAGTTACAGGAACAAAGAGAGGAAGGATGTTAAGAAATGAAAGGCTAGGGGAAAATGTTCCATTAACCTCCTCATAGTTTTTTAAAAGTTACAGTTCATTGCTCCAGAAATTTGAGTAAATAAGTGCCATTAAAGTTGCATAAAGAAAATTGGCCATTTTCTCTTTTCTGTCTTTCAGGGCATTCCAGATACGTTAAACTTCAGTGTGTTATTTACTAGATAAATGATCAACATAAAGTCCTTTTATCTTAAAGAAACTTTTTTTTTTTTTTAGCCATTGTCACTTCGGGATATCTTACTGGTAAACCCTTAAACCCCTTGTTAGATCTTCAGAGCTGCGTAAAATTAGACCTCAATTTTTTGAGGTGGTCTTCATTATTTTACCATTAACTAGTTGCCCCAGAACTGCAGTGAGCTAATTGATGTCCTGCCCTGCCCTGCCCTCCCCTCCACTCCCCTCCCGCCCCATTCCCAGACAGAGTCTTGCTCTGTCACCCAGGCTGCAGTGCATTGGTGTGATCTCGGCTCACTGCAACCTCCACCTCCCAGGTTCAAGCGATTCTCCTGCCTCAGACTCCCGAGTAGCTGGGATTATAGGTGCCTGCCACCACACCCGGCTAATTTTTTGTATCTTTAATAGAGATGGGGTTTCACCGTGTTGGCCAGGCTGGTCTCCAACTCCTGACCTCGTGATCTGCCTGCCTCGGCCTCCCAGAGTTAGGATTACAGGCATGAGACACTGCGCCTGGACTCTTTCTTTTTTTCTTGAGATATAATCTTATTCTGTCACCCAGGCTGGAGTGCAGTGGTGTGATCTCGCCTCACTGCAATCTCCGCCTCCCTGGTTCCAGCTATTCTTGTGTCTCAGCCTCCCCAGTAGCTGGGTCTACAGCAGGGGCACCACCACGCCTGTTTAATTTTTGTATTTTTAGTAGAGACAGGGTTTCACCATGTTGGCCAGGCTGGTCTTGAACTCCTGACCTCAGGTAATCCTCACACCTTGGCCTTACAAAGGGCTGAGCCAGGCGCCTGGCCCTATGTCTTTTTTTGGTGGAGGATGGAGTCTTGCTCTGTTGCCTAGGCTGGAGTGCAGTGGCATGATCTCGGTCCACTGTAGCACCCACCTCCTGGTTTCAAGCAGTTCTCCTGCCTCTGCCTCCCAAGTAGCTGGGACTACAGGCGTGCCCCACCACACCCAGCTAATTTTGTGTGTGTGTATTTTTAGAAGAGACAGGGTTTCACCATGTTGGCCAGGCTGATCTCCAACTCCTGATCTCAAGTGATCCGCCTGCCTTGGCCTCCCGAAGTGCTGGGATTACAGGCATAAGCCACTGCGCCTGACTCCTATGTCTTTTATTTCTAGGTGTGTCCCATATCAGTAGACCCTACCTTTGACAATAACTTGGAATTTGAGGAGGAGGAGGATTATGTGAAGTGAGACTGTTGTCTTACTGAAATTCCTAATTGTAGCGATGGCTTCATTTAAGTAATTTTGGAGCTTTATACCAAACTCCATGCTGGGGGCAGGACCCCAAGATGAACCATTGTTGCACTTACTTTGTTTTCATGGTTGTATGCCTTCAGTTTCTATAGCTTTCAGTCCAGCGTTTTTCAGATATTGAAATGATTTTCGTTTTGGAGAAAGAAAGACATGGTCTCTCTTTTCTTGATCCTTTTTCTAGTCTGCTGATTTTACTATTTTGGGAATAATCTCTTTTGTCCTTCTTTCCTCTGTTAAGTCTCTTAAGATGTGAAGGTTTAGCCAGCCATCCCATCCAAACAAGATTTGGCACAGCAGGCTAAAGAGATGTGTCATGAGAGGCTTTCCTTTTCTCCACATGTATGATACTGAGTGACTTTGTGCTCCTGTATGTTAATTGGGTCTTGTCATGTTAGCATTTATAAGTTCAGACCCTTCAGGGATTCCTAAACCTTGGGACAAAATAACTTGATCGTTTACATTTTTGTGAAGCAGCCTTGCTCT